TTTTTGAAATCCTGTAATATGGGGTAGCTTATTTCATCAACTAATTAGCGTGTTGGATGGTAGAGAATTTTGTCAGTCAACTATGTATACACAGTAAATACTTTTTCTTAGGCAAAGGTAACTTTTTTATGTAATTGTAAAATTCCATTATATTCCATTGCCAAAGAAACATTAAGAACTTTGTATAGCTGTATAAACAGCAACTAATTTTTAAAAGAATAAATGTTTTATAGTCAGCAAACATACTGTGTCCTTGCAGAAGTTCATATGCTGAAAAACAAGAGTTATGGGTGGATCTTTTTTCCTTAGTTTTCTAGGCTTAAGATTTTTGAGTTTGTGTGTGTGTGTTTTGGGTTTGTTTTGGTTTTCATTTTTAATGTTTGGAACATGGATGAAGATTTGATACATTCTCCCATTATCTAAAAAGGATAAATTATTCATGCTCATTGTAAGAACTTCATTTTATAACAAATGGCATATAACAGGATTTATCCAAACAATAGATATTTTCAGTATATGAATGTAAATAATCATTGATAAGAATGTACTTAGCTGTATTTTCAAATAAGTAACCTTCCCTCTTTTTTTTTAAGTCCTTAAAACTAGATATCAATTAACATTTCTTTCTGACATGCCTAGAATTTTGTGGTGATATCTTGACTCATTCCATTATGTTTCAGGAGGCTTCAGAGTGTTAGAACAATTATTTTGGCAACTCTGTAACACATCTTTCTCTTTTTTTGAGAGAGAGATTTTTTTTTTTTTTTTTTTTGCTATAGGGCACGTGCGCTCACCAGACAGAGAGAGACAGAGAGAGAGAAAGCGAGAAATCAACCCCCAGGGGGGATGGCCACACCTCAATCCCTTCTCCATTCTCCTCTTGGGATCTTGGGCACGCACGCACACATGCCCGGTGTGAGTTTTAAGCCACTGGGTCCAGGACTCGAACCGCTGTCGACTACATGGGAGTCCAGAGACATAGCCATTACGCTAACTGCTGGTCCCTCTGTAACACATCTTAACACCAGTAATTGCACCTGTGACCACAAATGACTCAGCCTAGAGTTCCTTGCTAATTACAAATTACTAGTAAATCTTTAATATTTTATGCTAGAGTAGAAAAAAATCTGGCCACTTTTGTGTTCTTATGAAGGTCATGGAATAAAGGGATCAAAGATTTAAATATTTTTATCTATTTTGAGTTTCGTTAACTTTTGCTTTGAAACATTCAGTAATGATAAAGATGTGGAAAACTACACTGGAGGAGAATTGGAATATTTAAATATGTTGATATTTTTCATTTCAGTTTTATGTCTTTCATATAGCTCTACAAATAAATGTTTTGTAATTTGGTTTCATGAAGATCCAGTACGTGGCAGCCATGATTTAAATAATATTGTTTAGTACTCTTTGCTTGCATGTAAACAACAAAGTTTTTGGAGGACCCACCAATCATGATTGAACACATTTCTGAGGCATTCTGAGCAGCAAGGCAAATACTATGACAATACCTGTGTAGTCTGTTAGAGATGTTCTGGGCCAATTTCAAGATGAAAAACTGTAAATATTAGTTCTACATGCTCTGAAAGTGTGAGTTCATGCATTTTCTCAGCCGACTGGGTCACTGACTGGGGCATTTGGTGCCCCAGTGCTAACTGGCAGCATGGAATACCTGCAGTGCACCTTACAATACTAAAGCGAGGTTTTTATTCTAAAACAGAATAAAACTGTTCAATTAAAAAAAAAAAAAAGAACAGAACAGAAAAGAGGCCTTGAACTCAATGTGGACAGGGTAGGAAGTGCTAATCCTGCCAAGCAGCCAAGGAGTGCCACATCAGTAGATGGCTCAGAAGACCAGTGGCCAATTAGAAAATGGACGTACCCTGTATTGTGTTGCTCAGAATACTACACTACTGAGAACACAGGAAGTGATGCTACAGCTTCTAAAGAAAATACTCAGGACTTTTTACTGATTGCATTATACATACCAGCTGCAAAAAAGAGAAACAGAGCATTTTCTGTCTTGAGGAATTAGCCTGCAATAGACATTAAAAAAAAAAAATCTTTTCTGCTCTTGTCTCAGATTTTATACCCAGCAAAACTAATGTAATTTTTTTTCTTTTCTACTGTGTATTTCGTCTTATTAAGATGTTTTCTTGGAAACAGCAGTTGGCGTAATGGCTATGTCGCTGGACTCCCACATGGTCAACCGTGGTTCGCGTTCCGGACCCGGTGGCTTGAAACTCACGCTGGGTGCGTGTGCGTGTGCGTGTGCGTGCCTGCCCAAGATCCTGAGAGAAGAATGGAGGAGAAGGGATTGCGGTGTGACCATCCCCCCCGGGGGGTGATTTCTCACTTTCTTTCTCTATGTCTCTCTCTGGCGAGTGTATGCACCCTATAGCGAAAACCTCTCAAAAAAAAAAAAGATATTTTCTTTCACAACTTAGGTGTAGCTGTTCATACTCTGACCTCAGAAGTAAACAAAAGATCCTTCTGTTTATGTTAATTATGAAGAAAACTTCCACTTATGTCACAGAGAACTAGCTTCTATAATATAAAATCTGCTCTATAAAACAGTACTAAAAAGATGTGAGGAAAGAATTCATAGGAAGTAGAGATAACTCTTAAGTATATATAAAAGAAAAAGGTATTCGGTCTTCTAGTAAGAAAAATTAACCTCAAAATTACATTAAATGCCTTTTTTAACTAGTGAAATTGGCAAAGATCCAAGAATTGATAAAACCCTGTATTGATATACATTGGCTTCAGGCTTATTCATATCATTATTAGCAGAAGTATAAATTTGGTACAGCCCTACAGAGGGCATATCAGCTGTTTCTATTAAAATTTTAGGAATTTATCCTGCAGATAAACTTTCACATATGAGACTTAACATGTATATTGCCCCATAGTTTATACAGTCATCTCTCAGTGTCTGTGGAGGATTAGCTTCATAAGGCCCAGTGGATACCAAAACCCATAGATGTGTGAGTCTCTTACAGAAAATGGTATAATATTTGTATATAACCTATGCACATCCTCTCACATACTTTAAATCATCTCTAGATTAATTGTAATATCTAATATGATGTAAATGATATGTAAATAATTGTTAAATTAGGAAATAATGACAAATAATCTGTACATGTTTAGTAAAGCAGTAATCAAATATTTTTCATATATTTTCAACACGTGGATTGGTTGATGCCACAGATGTAGAACTTACAGATATAGAAGGCCGCCTGTGGTTGCAAAAGATTAGAAATGTATTAGTATTAGGGTTTTTGTTTATTTGTTGTTGTTTTTTTATAGACACAGATTAGTTTATTTTTAACACCCATCATGCCATGAATTCATAGGGAATAGGTTCCAGTAACTCAGGCTCCTTTCCATCGGTTCTCACACAGTGGCTTCTCTGGGTGGAACAGGCTGGAACTTTAGTTGAACCCAGGTACCTTTCTCTTTGGCTTCCTTCTTTTTCTGGTCATTTCTCTTCATACATTTTAGGATGCTATCTCTGCTCTTAGAATGCTTAATGTGCTCAGTACATTAATTCTCTTGGCAAGAATCTTGCCCTTGTTTGTTCACAACAATGCCAACAGCATTCTGGGTAACATTGTAGACTCTTCCACTTTTGCCATGGTAACATTTGTGTATCATTCCTTTTCTAACAGTACTCATTCCCTTGAGGTCTACACTATCACCTTTCTTGTAGATTTAGCATATATGTTGCCAGAGGAACAACTCCATGTTTTCTAAAAGGCCTAGAGAACATATATTGGGTGCCAGTGTTATGTTAAATAAATCATGGTACAGCCACATGATAGAACACTCTGCTGCCATAAAGATATTAATTTCTTATGAACCAATGTGAAAAAATCTGTACAGTGTGTGGGTCCAGCAGATGACCTAGTGGTTATGTAGCTAGACTCTCACATGGCCAACTTGCAGTTCGATTCCTGAATACAGCAGCTTGAAACTCACATGATGCATGTACATGCATGCCAAAGATCCTAGAAGAATGGAGAAGGGGTTATGATGTGGCCATCCACCCTGGGGGGGATTTCTCACTTTCCCTCTCACTGTCTCTGTCTCTCTCTCTCTTTGGCAAGTATATGTGCCCTAAGGCAAAAACCTCGGGGGTGGGGGCAGAGTACAATGTGCATAAAATTACTAACATTGTGTAAAAAGGGCTGACCCAGCTAGCTACAGTACTTTGTGATTAGTTTAAATGCCTAAATCATAATCATGAAAAGACATTGCTTTAAAGCACTTTCTCAGCAGATGTCCTTTGCTTGCTAAAATTACCAGCTTCTGCAGATAGCATAATGGTTAATTAAGGTCCTAGACTCCCATATAGCTAACTGAGGGTCCAGTCCTAGAGCTGGTGGCATTAGACTCACACTGGGTCCATGTCATGCATGCCCAAAATCTCAGGAGGAGAATAAAGGAGAAGGGATTACAGTGTGGCCATCCCCCTTTAGGGGGCGATTTCTCACTGTCTCTCCCTTTGCCTCTCTTCTGCAAACGCATGCACCCTACAGCAAAAAATCTAACCAAAAATAAAGAAAACCAATAACACAAAAATTGCCAACTTTTAGTAGTAATTCTGGCTAAACTTTTTTTTAATTACTTATTTAATTTTTATTTATCATCATTACTATCTTTTAACCAGAGAGAGAGACAAAGAGAAGGGAGGAAAGTGAGAAACTAAGCTGCCAGGTCCAGGACTCAACCGTGGTCAGTTATGTGGGAGTCCAGCCCCTTAGCCACCATGCCACCTGCTGGCCCCCCTGGTTAAACATCTTTATATTTTATATCTGAGCTGAAAATTTCAAACTGGTAGATAGTCATTTTGTATAACTTTCCTTCTTAGTTTGACATTTTTAATCCATAACCTACTACTACTTACCACATTTGTATTGGTACATGTCCAGTAAAGATGATTTGTTTTGAGAATATATAAAGTGAAACTTATATTTACTTCTTGTGTGTTTTAGGGACAGACGTTTGCTTCAGCCTGCCCAGGTGTGTGACATTTTGAAGGGTGTCATTCTGCTAATCTGCTATTTCATGATGCACTATGTTGACTACTCCATGATGTACCACCTGATAAGAGGGCAGTCTGTCATCAAGCTCTACATCATCTACAACATGCTGGAGGTAAGGGCTCTGGCCAACCTGCATGCTTTGTTTGTCCTTCTGCCTACACAGGTTCGGTCAACATGCACAATTTCAGGTCTTCCAACACAGAAGGTTCCTGAGAACCGACGATAGTTTTCTACCATCTCTAGTAGTAGTATTTCTGGCATATAGTATGCGTCCAGTCGCTTAGGGATTTTTTTAAAATGTGAATTATGAAGCAGTAGAAATAGGGGGTAGGAGTAGAGAATCTGTATTTCTAAGGAGGTGGTACCTGGACCACTGTTCTTGGGACACATTCAAGGCAGTGAATCTTCAGGGCAGGATTCTCATGCAGTATGTAGGAAAGACACTTGTTGCTGAAACACTGTTTAGTCAGTAACTCTTGAAAAGTACATGTCTATAGTAGGGAAATTTGAATTCATGGGAAATCCATAGGTGATTTTTACTAGAACTTTCAGACCAGCCCCTGTGGGTCAGCATTACCACCGCATGTTAGCACTGTGCCACCAGCTGGCCCTTTTATACTATTTAGGGATATAAGTGAGTTCTGTCCATCTTTTCAGTTAGCCTTAAAGAGTTTTTCCCTTGCGAGTAGACAGATGTAGTACCATGGGAGTTACTGGTCCTAGTAGAGATGAGGACTTTCCATCTCTTCTCAGAAACCATAGGTCTCTAAATGTCCTGGTAACTCCTAAATGCATTGTATCAAGATATTTTAAAACCACGCCATAGCTTCCTGATTCAGAGTTTGCTGACTGTACACATGCTGTACCCCATCACATAGAAAGCTGAGGAGTAGGTATGGATGGAGTTTGTGAAACAGAGTAGCCCATCTTGTTCTCCCCTCCCTGTTACAGAAAGAAAATCCTAGGCCTCATCTTGTCTTTCTTCTGTTTGACTTGCACTTCTTGGCAGTGCCCTCCTAGTCTCCTTTATGCTTTTCCCTCTTGGGGAACTGCAAGAGACAGGAACGTCACCTTGCCCTCAAAGTTAATATTTATGTCTCCTGACTTACAGCTCTCTCCAAGGTAGTATTATTGTAGAATTAGGAAATGGGTCATGAGCCAACCAGGAAGCATAGTGGTTAAGCACTGTGCACTGGGAGCCAGATCCCATATGCCCTACTACGGTTGGAATCTCAGTCCAGGTGGCTTTAAAAACATGCCAGGATATGTGTATACATGCCCAAAATCCTGACAGGAAGAAGAAATGGAGAAAAAAGGATTACAACAGTGTCATAGTGTTAACTATCCCTGTTGGAAGGGAAGGTACACTCACAGGCCTGCTCTCTCTCTCTCTCTTTTTTTTTTTGGAGATGTTTTTTCGCTATAGGGTGCATGCACTCGCCAGATAGACAGAGAGAAACATAGAGACAGAAAGCGAGAAATCCCCTCCTGGCGGGGGGGGATGTTCACACCGCAATCCCTTCTCCTCCATTCTCCTCTCGGGATCCTGGGCACGCATGCACACGCGCCCAGCATGAGTTTTAAGCCACCGGGTCCGGGATGCGAACCGCAGTGGACTCCGTGGGAGTCCAGCGACATAGCCATTACGCTAACTGCTGGTTCCCAGGCCTGCTCTCTCTTGTGAGTGTGAACACCCTCTGGCAATTAAAACAAGAAAATAGGCCAAGAGAAAGGATTCATGAATTACTGATTAAAGTGGTTCAAAAACTTATTCTTTTTGTAGACTACAATTGATGCTCTGATTTGAACATAGTATACAAGAGTCCAGGCTTTAGTCTATAGACAAACTACCTCTAATCAAATCCTGCCTCCACCTCTTTTTTTAATACTCATTAATTCTAGTTGCAGTTACTGGTTAATAAATATCTATAATCCACAATTTCTCATCTGTAAAGTGGAAATACAAGGGGAATTACTAAGACTAAATGAGACAGTGCATAAAGAGGGCTTACCACAGTGTAAAACATGTGCTAAATATTTCCTAAATGGCAGAGGTTTTCACTCAGCAAATATTTAAGCTGAACTGATCTTATACCAGACACTGGTCTTAGATCCTGACAGTCCAGGGATTAGTGATCCAAAGCCTGTTCTCATAGAGCTTATACTCTACAGATGAAAAATAGACAATGAACAAGGAGATATTAGGAAATGATAAATACTGTGATGAAGAAGAAACAGGATAACGTAGTATAGACCATGAAAGTATAAAAGATCAGATGGTCTGGGAAAAGCCTCTCTTAGTAGTCACGTTTCAGATGATTCCTTTTTTTTTTTAAAATTAATTTTATTTGTTTATTATTTTGCTATAGAGTATGTGCACTCTTCAGAGTCAGACAGAGAGAGAAGAGAGAGGAAAAGTAAGAAACAAAGCCAGGAGACTTCAATTGGCCACGTGGGAGTCTAACGCCTCAACCACCAAGCCACCTACCAGCCCCTCAGATGAATCCTGAATGATGTGATGCCTTTTTTTCTTTTTTTATGTGCCTTTTATTATTTGTTGTGTTATATTCAAGGAGATTAGTACCTGAAAATGACCTTAGGAAACAATTCTGCATATTATGTTCCATATAATAAACCTCAAACACAAACAGCTAATGTTTACAATATTAGATGTGAATAGAGTAGGTCAAATGATACATTCGTCTTGAAGAATGTTAGTTTGAATCCTGAGTTTAAGTGGCTCAAACCAGAGGAACCATACTTTTGATAAACTCACCTCCTTTTATTTTTGCCCTAAGACTTTGTTACAAACATAGCTAATTCAAATTCTACAGATATTTGAGCATCAAATTTTGTATCAGAAAATAGTAAAATATATGAGAATAAGTAAACAGATTTTTGTTTTTCTTTACATTAACTTCTAGGATTTAAAAAATTGAATCTGTTATTTTAGTTGCATCTGAATTTTAAGAACATATTGAAATGGAATATTAAGGAATACTTTCCCAATCATTTTTCTCTTCAGGTAGCTGATCGTTTGTTTTCATCGTTTGGACAAGATATATTAGATGCTCTCTACTGGACAGCAACAGAACCTAAAGAAAGAAAAAGAGCCCACATTGGGGTGATTCCTCACTTTTTCATGGCTGTTCTCTATGTCTGTATCCTTTTAGGCTTATTATAAAATCCAGTAGTCAATGTGCATTCTACCTTACTTTATTTGGTTAACCATTTTATGGATTTAAAGATGCATTGGAGTGTCAGGAAAGTCATGATGTACCTTTGCATAGAAAACCAGAAAAATTCATCATGACTTTCCTGACAACCTAATAAATGTATATGTATATCTAAAAGATTGATGTAATTTATCTGCTTTCTTTTGAGAAATTGGTTGTAATAGAAATTGTAAATTAAAGAGTCTCATGTACTCACAACCCTTTGTACTGCTAGAAAACAGTTTTATTATAAAGGATTAACTTTTTCATACTTGCATTAGAATTTTTCTTAAAGGTTTATTTAAATCTGTGAATTCTTTGTTACAACCTTGGACTTAAAATATGCAAAATGCGGGAACCAGCAGTTAGTGTAATGGCTATGTCGCTGGACTCCCACGTAGTCAACCGCAGTTCACGACCCGGACCCGGTGGCTTAAAACTCACGCCGGGTGCATGTGCGTGCGTACCCAAGATCCCGAGAGGAGAATGGAGGAGAAGGGATTGTGGCATGACCATCCCCCCTGGGGGGTTATTTCTCACTTTCTGTCTCTATGTCTCTCTCTGTCTGTCTGGCGAGCGCATGCGCCCTATAGTGAAAATCTCTCCAAAAAAAAAAAAATACGCAAAATGCATCTAGAAGTAAAATGCAAAATTAGTTGGGAAGAATTTTGGAGGTTATGTGTATACACATTCCTGTGTGTGTTTCTGATTAATTTTTTTCTTTTGGAGAATAAATGCTTTATTGTATAAACTGTATGCATGTGTATGTTTACCCATACATAATGTATTAATATTTGCAGACATATACATACCTACCCTAAAGTTCCATTCGGAGTCAGGATACAGTCACAGGACCAATTTATATTGTTTTCTTACTGTCTTTGAAAGAGTGGCACTTGAAAAATTGGATTAATACTTGAGAAATTAAGTGACTCAGTGGGTGAGTATCTCTGAGCATAAAAGCTCATTCCAGTTTTAATGAAATAAGATGGTTACCAATCTAAGATATAAATGAACTATTTTGTATGCAGTGTAACTCTGCATCTTTTAGCTATCTTCAAAATGACATGAAGAATCTTAATTATCAGACATTTCTTATTGTCTTATATTCCATGTTCCCTGAAGAACCAGAGAAGAAAGTTACTTCCAGACTAATTTTATATTTATGTTTTTGTCTTTTTTTAATTTAATTTTCTTTCATCTATTATTATTATATTATTTTTTGATTTGACCAGAGAGAGCTTATGTTCTTTTCTTATTTATTTTACAAGTTATCTTAATTCAAATTCTGTATTTTCAAGTCTCTTCTTTCAGACTTGACATATTTTATTGAAATTATTTTACAAACTTTTTTTAGGGCCTATTTCCCAAGCACTGTGCCAATTCCAGAGATACAGTAAAAACAAAATAACCCTTTTCTGAAAGACTCACAGTCTAAATAGATACATGGAGGTTCATTTCTGCTTCTGTTTCATATAGATTGCATATATCTATCCAGTATTGCTGATAGGGAAACTATGAAGATGATATGATACTTATATATGCCTTGATTTAGAAAGCATAGTCTTTTCCCCAATTATTCAGTTTTGAAATTTTATAGTATTATCTACTAATATGAAAACAGACTTGTTTTTTCCTTGACAAACTGTTAGTTTTGCATGCAATTCTTATAATGGTTCAAGCAACAACTCTCAACGTAGCTTTTAACTCACACAACAAGTCACTGCTTACTATCATGATGTCGAATAATGTGAGTATGGGATTTTATTTTATACCTTTGAGATTATACAAGGCACTTCAATATGGCAGTATTCTGGATGATATAAAATTCTTTGTTCTATATGTTATTTATGTTCCAGGGAATTTTTTATGTAGCATTTTAAAAACTTTTATAATAATGAAGAACATATTTCTGTTTACTATTTCAGTTTGTTGAAATTAAAGGAAGTGTTTTCAAGAAGTTTGAAAAGAACAATCTCTTTCAAATGTCAAACAGTGGTATGTATAATTAAATGCTACTTGCAGTTCTGTTTAGAATTATTTTGCAGTGCATTCTGAAACCTTAATGTCAACATTTCCTGTGGGCCACTGTTTCTTTGAGTTAAGCTGTGCTTTCTCTAGTGCTATCAACATCTTTACCAGGTTTCCTTATTATCTTTAACTATTATAATCTTAAGGTGTTTAAGACTTTTTAAAAATTAAAAATTCAGGAACCAGCAATTGCTGTAATGGCTATATCACAGGACTCCCATGTAGTCGACCATGGTTCAAATCCTAGACCCAGTGGCTTAAACTCATGCTAGGCACGTGTGCATGCGTTCTCAAGATCCCAAGAGGAATGGAAGAGGATTGCAGCATGACCATCCCACCAGGGGGTGATTTCTCACTTTCTGTGTCTCTGGTGAGCACAAAAGCCCTATAGAAAAAAACCTCTCCAAAAAAATAAAAAAAAAAATTTTTAAATAAATTAAAATTCATAGTTGCATATCATTTTTTTCAGAAGCTTCCCATTAGTCCAGAAATTTCTCTGAAGCACATAATATTACTTCTCTATTTTATAGATTTAGAAACTGAAATACAATTGACAGATAGTTACTTAGCTACTAAGAGAAAAGCTCTGGTCGTAAATGTCAGGTTGTCTCAGGTCATTTCACTTAGACCTTATTGCCTACTTTGTAATTATAAGCAGTTTGAAGGCAAAAAACATCCCTGGAGACATCGTCCAACATAATTATCAGAGCAACATAGTGTGGTGAATCTCAGTATGTGGTTCAAGGAACCATCATGAGGGGTCCCTGAGACCTTTCCAGGAAGTCCATAAATCCAAAACTGAGTTCATATGAACATGAAGACAGTATTTGTCATTTTCACCAAGTTGATATCACACTAATTATGAAAGCTGAGGTGTAGTGCGTTTATGGCATCCTTGCGTGATTCAAGGCAGATGGAAAAGGGAGCAGGGACATCTGAAAGAACCTGACTTGATAATATCCTCAAATTGATGAAGGGCTGTCAAGGGGAAGGTGGTCGGGGTTAGTCTCAGATAAGAGACCTACATGGCTCATCTAAAGCAGCATTTGTCTGAGTTTCAGTACTCTTTTACACTCTTAAAAGCTATGGTGATCTCAGAAGACTTTTATTCATATGAGTTAGGTCTGTCACTGTTCACCATATTAGAAATCAAAAACTGGGCAGAATCCCTTGCCTGGTTGTTAAAGCAGCCAGATCCCATGTGGCCAACTACATGATTCAAATTCTTTTCCTGACACCTTGAAAAACATGCTAGACATGTATGTGTGAGTACCTCATATCCTCACAGGATAGAGAAATGGAGAAGAGATTATAGTGTGACCATTCCCCACTGGAAGTTGCTTTCTCCTTCTCTCTCCCATTGTTTCTTTCACATGTAAGCACATTCATCATCTGGCAAATATTTTTAAAAAAAGAAATTAAAACTGAGAAAGTTTTTTTTTTTTCATGACAGTGAGAGTGAGTGATGCACCCTTGACAGGGTCTCACACCACGATATACCCCTTTAAGCCTTCCAACCAGCCATACATACTCAGTTTGTACAGATCAAGCCAGGAACTGAACCTCAATCTTTCATGTATCTTCCAGCTTTGCAGGATGGTGTATTACCAGTGTCAGTGTTGGACCACAATAGCTGGGCCTGATTAACATTATTGAGATGAAAATTTTTACGTATTTTATGTTTTGATAATGTGAACTCTGTACATTCAGCAAGATCTTTCAGGAGTTAGGTTGATCTGACTTAGCTCAGAATGACTGATGTGTTAAGGAGATAAAATAGTCACTCGTTTCATATTTAAAATGCACCTGGCTATGCGACCAAGATAAGCTCAAGTTTTTGTTTTGTTTTTTAAATAATTATTTTATTTAAATTTTTAAATTTATTTTAATTTGACCAGAGAGGGACAGAACAAGAGTGAGAGAGAGGGAAAGTGAGAAAGCAAGTCACCAGGTCTGGGACTTGAACCACAGTCAGCCATGTGGAAATTCAGCACCCTTACCCACCATACCACTTGCCAGCCCCATAAGCTCAAGTTTTAAAAGTCAAATCTTTGTTCTACAGTATCTGTGTAGAACATTGAAATGTAAACAATATAAAACTAAATATACCAGAGTAAAACAGTTTAGTATTCATGAAACAGTGCCTGGCATGTTTCTCAAGCCACCAGGGCAGGGATTCCTACTGCAATTGATTGTGGTATTTGGCTCCCTTAACCATGGGGTCTGCTCTCTTTATCTTAAAACTTACTATCTTTAATATCCTTAATATTATAAGATTAGATTTATTTACTAGAATATATTAATTTGTATTAATCTAATTTCTGTTTAAAATAGTCTGCTTTTCTAAAATCTACTCTGCCTTAAATATTCCCCTAATGAGATGAGTTTTGGCCCAGCCAGAGTGGTGCAAACAGCTAGGACCATATGAGAGGTCTCGGATACAAACAGACCTAAAACGGTTTGGGTACAGTGGCATATGCCTATAACCCTAGCTAACTGGAAAACTGAGGAGGAGAATTACAAGGGGGAGACCTTGTCAGAGAAAACCTATCTCTTTCCCCTTCTCTGACTTCTGTGCCCTTGCTGTTACACATGTGCACATGCTCTCTCCTGTTAAAAAAAAGTAAAATAAAAAAATCCCCCCATCTTATCAGTAGCCTTAGAATTTAAATGATCACAGATTATTTCCTCTATGCCAATAACTTCGTCGTGCCCAAGAATAAGGTATATTTAGTTTAAATACTGCAATTACTGTTTGTTTTATGATATCAGAGTTCATAAAAGTTACTTTGTTTGGGCCAGCCTATGGCCTGGTAGTTAAGGGATCCAGATTTCATGTCCAGTTTGAATCTCAGTCCTGGTGGCTTCAAAAACACCCCTTTCTCTTTCTGGAGAGTGTATACACCCGGCCAAGAAAAAAAACATTACTGTGTTTTAAATTCTCTTTTTTTTTTTTTTTTTTGGAGAGGTTTTCGCTATAGGGCGCGTGCGCTCGCCAGACAGACAGAGACATAGAGACAGAAAGCGAGAAATCACCCCCTAGGGGGGATGGTCACGCCGCAATCCCTTCTCCTCCATTCTCCTCTCGGGATCTTGGGCACACACGCACACGCGCCCGGTGTGAGATTTAAGCCACCGGGTCCAAGACGCGAACCGCGGTCGGCTACGTGGGAGTCCAGCGACATAGCCATTACGCTAACTGCTGGTTCCCACATTCTCAAAGCATTTTGTCTCAATAAATCTGTATCAAACTAATATCATAATAGTGTTATATACCACATGACGATGTTTCAGTCAGTATTGGATACATATATGATGGTGAAACAATAGGCTATATTAATTCCATAGTTAAATGTAGGTAGATAAAGTAGAATATTATGTCCAACACTGATGGGAATTATTTTAGGGCAGGTTTTTCTTAGTTTCCTTTAACCTGTATCCTTTTTGAAATCACAAAAAATAAACTTCCAACCTAGAACAAGTTAAAACATGTACACTTGGAAACTCCACACATACTGCTTCCATTTGTGTTATACCTTACAAGGGGATATATCTCTGCTCTTCACCTTGAGATTCACTGTGCTTGAGCTTACACCTAAAACACTGTTTCTTTCCCCTTTTTTTGAGGGGGGCATTTTTGCTATAGGGCATGTGTACTCACCAGATAGAACAACAGAAAGTGAGAAATCACCCCCCAGCGAGGATGGCCATGCAGCAATCCCTTCTTCTCTGTTCTCCTCCTGGGGTCTTGGGTATGCACACCCAAGCGTCTGGCATAACTTTGAAGCCACTGGGTTTGGGTCTTGAGCCATGGTCGCCCATGTGGAATTCCAGTGACGTAACTGCTAAACCATCTACTGGCTCTAAAAACATACTATTTCATAAGGAACAATTTTACAGTTTCATAAATAGAAAAGCAGTTTGTGCCTACCAGGTTTCAAGGGAGCTCAGGTTTATCACAATTAAGAAGCTGAGCTGCCCTGGAAAAGAAGGTCCCAGCAGCTGGCTGAAACAGTTAAAGGATTTAGGGAAGATAGATGGTAAAGGCCATCTCACTTGTAGAAACCAGGGTTTTGCTGTCAAACAAAATTCTAAATCATTTTGCTATAGCATAGTAGGAAAAGATGGAAATAAGAAAAGAACAGCAAAGACAGTCCCATGAAGGATGTGAAGGAGAAATTGAAATACAGATACCTTGTAGAAGGTATCCCAGTTGAGTGGCATGGGTGAGGCCCAGAATTGAGATAATTGAATAGTATGTACATGACAGGAGAATATATAAAAGCACTTGAGATGGTTTGCTGTATGAGTGATTGTTTCTAGCACAGCCCCTACCGGTACATAGACACACACAGATGTGCCATGCTTACGACAGAGTTTATTTCATCTCTTTTTTTTTTTTTTTTTTAAAGGTTTTTGCTATAGGGCAATTGTGCTCACCAGAGAGACAGAGGGGAAGTGAGAAATCATTCCCCAGGGGAGGGATGACCATGCCACAATCCTTTCTTCATTCTCCTCTAGGGATATTGAGCATGCAGGGCCATGTGCCTGGCATGATTTTCAAGCCACTGGACCCAGAATTTGAACCGTGATCTGCAATGGGAATCCAGAACCTTGAACACAGTGCCAACCTGCTGTGCTGGCCCCTCATTCCATTTCTTAATTTCTTTCTTTTTTTTGGTGGGGGGGAGAGATTTTTGCTACAGGGTGCATGTGCTCGCCAAACAGACATAGAGACAGAAAGTGAGAAATCATCCCCCAGATCTCCCAGAGGGGATGGCCATGCTGCAATCCCTTCTCCTCCATTCTCCTCTTGGGATCTTGGGCATGCACGCACGTGCACCTGGCGTGAGTTTTAAGCCACCGAGTCCGAGACACGAACCGCGGTCGACTACATGGGAGTCCGACCACATAGCCATTACACTAACTGCTGGTCCCTCTTAATTTCTTATCATGGACTCTTTTGAGAAAATAACAGCTTAGAAAGTAAAATTCATAAGCTGCTCAGGAATTCAGTTATTTGCTTTTATTTATTATTTATTTATACAATAATTTTTTCTCATAAAAGTTCTACCAAAAATATGTTTTTCCTTAACTTAAAAATATAGCTTCTGAAAGCAAAAATTTTAATTGTTATAATTTGCTACACATTTTATAAATAGCAGTGGAAAGAAATTAACAGAAGGAATTCAATTTTAAAATTTAGTCATAGTCATTTTAAAAGCTTGACTTTGGGGACCAGCAGTTAGAGTAATGGCTATGTAGCTGAACTCTCCCATGTAGTCGACCACGTTTCAAGTCCCAGATCCAGTGTCTTAAACTCGTGCCGGGCGCGTGTGCGTGCGTGCCCAAGATCCCTAGAGGAGAATGGAGAAGGGATTGCAGGGTGACCATCCACCCTGGGGGGTGATTTCTTGTTTTCTTTCTCTCTGTCTCTGTCTTTCTGACAAACGCATACACGCTGTAGCAAAAACCTCTCCACAAAAAATGCTTGACTTTGTCCTTTAATAAGTTAAAAGTGGGATTCTTGCAGATTTTCTTGTTAAAGGAATTCCTCTTACAATCTTTGGTGCTCATTCGTTACTGCATAGTACTGAGCTAAAACCTTTTTCTTTAGCTTTTTGATGGCAATTTCATTGTCTGGGCTCTGCTTCAGAACTGCTTTAATAGTTCCCTTCCAGTTGAATTTACCTTTTGCAGGAGCCTCGTGGTCTTCTGTTCTCCACCATTAGAATGTCCTGGGCCACCTTCTTTTTCTTCTAAGTATCTGTTTTAACGTCTGAATGTCTGTGCTTTTTTTCCTATAGCAATTTTGGTCTCTTCCTTGGCACCGCCCTCTCTGGAGCCCCACCTCAATCTGCTGCCCCTTCCCCTGCAGACGTGCCCTTGTTCCTCTTCTTCCCACTCCTCTCTCCTGACCCATTGGCCAAAGGGGCTTCTTGCCTGCCAGCTTCTAGTCCTGCCTCCTGTCCCTTTTTTTTTTTTTTTGCGCTTCTTTGGCTTCTGACTCCTTGAATTTTTCTGGTGGTTTTCTCTCAGTATTTTATTTTCTTTTTTCCTGTTCTTGCTGTTCTTTCTTTCTCTCTCTTTTATTCCACTTCACTTCTGCTCACTCTTCCGTGGTGTCATTTGCCTTGGAGGAGCGGGCCTTGGTGGAGACTTCTGTGTGTGGATCTGCACCTTCGTTGAGTGGTTGTTGATCTTGCCCCTTATTGATTGGCTCACTGCCAGAAGTTTCAGAAAAAATATTCCACACCTGCTCCAGAATGGATTAATTATGAACTTCTAAACTGTTCTTCATCTCTCTGAAATTTTACCTTTTTCCTTGGAACATTGTCAAAGCACTAATTTGCTCTAAAAGTTCTCTCAACTTTGGGGCTGACATTGGGTTTCTTTGTTAACTCATTAATTTTCTGACTCCATGCTTGCTGTTTCATGTCGCCTTTATATGTTTGCCCTCATTGCCTTTGCCACCATACTTCTGATCTTCACTTACTCATTTCATGCGGTTTTTGTAGTCAACAGCGCTAGAAATCTTTACCACAGTCATGCAAGAAAGGCATTCACAGTTTCTGTAAATAGATATATGGTTTTCCACTTTTATTTTCTTCACTGAATCACCACATGCATTGCATGTAAAAGATACCACTTTTAGCTAAATGATTAAATATTCTCTAGCCAAGATAGGCTTTAAGTCTTGTCCTTGCAACCAGCACCCGCCAATGTCTCTGCTAGCCATGGGGAGCATGTGGAATCCCTGTTACCCGCCCAGCGGAGCCTTCACCTCCTTCCAGGGCCTCTCCATGTTGAATTTACTTGTGAGCCACCCTATTTGTTTTTATTAAATTCATTTGGACTTGTTTTAGAGTAGACAGTTATTAACTTTTGATAAATATCATAAGGAAACCTAATTTGGGGTTGTTACTTTTCCCCTAAATTCCAGCTTAAGAATACTGCCCTAAGAAATGCTGTTCTAATACCAGTATTCTCTTAGCTAAGGACTCATCAAGTCAATACTTGAGTACTTACTATTTACCAGATTTGAAACAGTCTGGAATACAGGAATTTTATGTTACCCAAAGTCTTGTATTTTACTCTCTGCTTCTATTTTTTCTCCTTTTATAAAAACAGTTGTCGTATGTCCCCCAAAGACCATTGGAGGAATCTAATTACCCAGTCTGAGCAGTTTGATTGTTGATTATTTTTTGGAGTTTGTAGAAATTATGGTAGGAATTTCCACTTATTGTGTCACCTAAATAGTCATGACATATTTTTTCATGTTTTTCTATGTGTCATGACTTTTCCGACAAGCCAATATGTTGTCAAAAGAAGTCAAAATGGAAAAAAAAAAAAAAAAAGAAAGAAATGAGTTAGAAATATAGCCCCAGCCTATATTTATACACATTTATAATAGTATAATAATTCTGTGTTCCAACCAAAAGTAATAATTATTTTATACATGCACTGTAGTGTTATTATATTATTTATATGCACTATGATTCTTATTATGAATTTTTTTTCAGATATTAAGGAACGATTCAAAAAAAAAAAAAAAAAAGAAAGAAATGAGTTAGAAATATAGCCCCAGCCTATATTTATACACATTTATAATAGTATAATAATTCTGTGTTCCAACCAAAAGTAATAATTATTTTATACATGCACTGTAGTGTTATTATATTATTTATATGCACTATGATTCTTATTATGAATTTTTTTTCAGATATTAAGGAACGATTCACAAATTATGTGCTTTTGCTAATAGTGTGTCTAAGAAACATGGAACAGTTTTCTTGGAATCCAGGTAACTAGCTCTTAAATGTATTGTCTTGGGGCCAGCCGGTAGAGTAGTGGTTAAGTGCTCGATTCCCACCTGACAGCCATAGTTCGAGTCCTGGGACCTAGAGGCTTGAAACTCATGCAAAGTGTGTGTGTGTATGTGTGCCCAAAATCCCAAAGGGAGAAGGGATTGAGGCATGGCCATCTCTGGGAGGTGATTTCTTGTTTTCTGCCTCTCTAGTGAGTACATGCGCCCTAAAAGCAAAATCTCTCAATAAATAAATAAATAAATGGTAGTCACATATAGTCTACAGAATAATACTCAACCCTAAAAAATCAAGACCCTGGCATTTGATAGAAAGCAGTAGGATATGGAGGATCTATTGCTGAGTGACGCAAGCCAGGATATGAAAGAAAGATATTTTATGTATCCACTTAATATATACCGACTACCCACTAAAGTGGGTATATATTATAAATGGTAGAGATAAAAATATTGGAGGACATAAAATCAGTGAAAATAGTTAGTGATGAAGACAGTGTGGAATGGGGTGGGAGAAGAGAAGAGTATGGAGAAGGATAGCAAGAGAACAAATAGAGAGGCATGACCTTAGTAGGACACAGAAATGTTTTATAACCTGTTGATGATAACGTGTATAGTATTCTCAACTGGATTGGTCAGAGAAGTATTTCATGTTGGGTAAAGTCTTTTTATAAGCAAAATGATAAATAGTGATTGAATGTTTTAAAAATAATTGGAATAATCATAATAGTAATCTGGAAAAAATAATGAAAAGCTACTTGATGGTGATGGAGATTTTAATGTCTTTGTATTGACTGACATGCATGGTATTCCTTCTGGAAAAAGAAATGTAATACACTGTAAAGTTATATGTGATTCAATGTAATATAAACAAGATAATGATAACTTAAATTTTAAAAGTAATGAGAATAAGAATCTAGAAAAATAAGGAAAAGCTACTTGATGATGATGTGAATAGTAATGTCTTTGCCTTGACTGATATGCATGGTAATCCTTCTGGAAAAAGAAATGTAATGCACTGTAAAGATATATGTGATTCAATGTAATATAAACAAGATTATGATTAATAATAAATTTTTAAAAGAAAAAAAAAACATGTTGTCTTATATTGGATTGTCAGAAAGTCATGACATATTGTTGCATAGAAAAACAGAAAAATACATCATGACTTTTCCGACGACCCAATAGTTTTACTGATAAGCCAAAATCATTCTAGCACATGATAAAATGAGTGTTTTGGAGAACTTCAAAAGTCTTTGACTGTTCCTCTGCTCAGGTTATGCAAACACTCATTTCAGTAGAGCGTCTTGATTAGGTTTCCTGTGGTATGATGACATGCTATCATTTCCTAGAAGCCTCACACTGGCTGAACTGTACCTTCAGCTTGGTGAATGGGCCTGCTAGTCCAAACTCCTAAGTCCCTCTGGTCCCTCTGTTTTTGTTTTTGTTTTATTTTAGGGTTTTTCCATAGAGCATGTGCTTGATAGAGAAAGACACAGAGGGAAAGTGAGAAATCATCCCCAGAGGAGATGACTATGCCACAATCCCTTCTCCCCCCCTTTTTCTGTATGCACACATGCCTGGCATGATTTTCAAGGCTCTGGGTCCAAAACCCGAACTACAGTCAGCCAAGTGGGAGTTCAGTATCTTAACTACTATGCCACCTGCTGGCCCAGTAAGCCCCTCTGTTTTCATATTATTATTTTTTTATTTTATTTTACATTCAATCACTGTATGTCATTATAGCTTACAAAAATGAGTTTTCCCAGCATGACTACACTATATATTAGTCCAAAGATATTTCCATACCATTTTATTATTAACAGATAATTTTCCATGTTTGTATCCCTTAAATATTTTGCTTCCGGAGGAACCAGCAGTTAACGTAATGGCTATGTCGCTGGACTCCCACGTAGTCAACTGCGGTTCGCATCCCGGACCCGGTGACTTAAAACTCACGCCGGGCACATGTGTGTGCGTGCCCAAGATCACAAGAGGAGAATGGAGGAGAAGGGATTGCGGTGTGACCATCCCCCCTGGGGGGTGATTTCTCACTTTCTGTCTCTCTGTCTCTGTCTGTCTGGCGAGCGCACGCGCCCTATAGTGAAAAAACCTCTCCAAAAAAAATAATAAATTTTGCTTCTGGGACCTGCAGTTAGCGTAATGGCTATGTAGCTGAATTCCCATGTAGTTAACTGCGGTTCAAGTCCCAGACCTGGTGGCTTAAACTCATGCTGGGTGCGTGTGTGTGCGTGCCCAAGATCCCAAGAGGATAATGGAGTAGAAGGGATTGTGATGTGGCCATCACCCCTGAGGAGTGATCTCTCTCTTTCTATCTCTCTCTCTCTCTCTCTCTCTCTCTCTCTTTCTGGCGAGCGCACATACCCTATAGCAAAAATAAATCTCAAAAAAATAAATAAATAAAAATAATATTTTGCTTCCTTCTTTTTTCCATTGATTCCCTTCCTCTCTCCCTCCACTATTTACCACCCTCCTCCCACACTGTCTCTAGTATCCACAGTTGTCCTCCGTGCTTTTACACCTTCCAGTCTTTCAGTTTCTTCCATAGAGCACAGACATTCGATATATATTGAGAGGAAACATACAGTGCCTCTCTTTCATAATCTGGCTTGCTTTCTTTAGCAGTAAATCCTCCATATTTGTCCAATTTCTATCAAATGCCAGGGCCTCATTGTTTTTTATGGCTGAATATTCCTTAGTGTGTATGTGCCATGCATTTTCAATTCATTCATCTGTTCTTGGACTTTTGGATTGGTTCATGTCTTAGCAGTTGTGAATAATGCCACAATAAGCATGGATGTACAAGTGCTTTTCCAGCTGAGTGTATTCCTATCCTTGAGTAGATACACAAGAGTACAATTGCTGGATCACATTGTAGTTAGTGTGTGGTGGTTGCCTAAAGGTAGATTGTTTTCTGGGTTGACCAGAGGAAACTTGCAGTTCCCTAATATTTGTCTTTTACCTATTCATTCCTCACTAATTAGCATTTTGAATAGGGAAGAAATGAAAGATATATAATATAAAGCAGTAAATTTTATTGTTTATATGTATCTCTGATTCAAGACTGAGAGGAAGTGGTCAGGGTCCCCTAAATTTCCATCATTCATTCAGCAGACATTCCCTGAGTAAATGCTGTGCACAGTCACATGCTAAACAAATATAAGAAGCAGTAAGATATTTGCAGATGTCACAGCCTAATAGAAATAGACAGGTAATTATAATGCTGAAGTGAGTTAGATAGGAAATAATCACCTGCTCTAAAATAATTCAGAGGTGTTTTTTCTTTTTTTCTTTTTTTTTTTTTAATCTTACATTTCTGACATTTTTTCACAATCTTTTTTTTTAAGGTCTTGCTTTAGGGCACCTATACTTACCAGAGGGGAGGTGGCGAGAAATCACCCCCCAGGGTGATGACCACACCGCAAACCCTTCTCCTCCAGTCTCCTCTTGGAATTTTGGACACACACATACATGCCTGTCATAATTTTCAAGCTATTAAGTCTGAAACTCAAACCACAATCAGCTATGTAGGAGTTCACTTTAATCACCACCTGCTGGCCCCTCACAACCTTGTTCTTAAGAGGCAAGACCATGTTTTGCATTTCACTTATTACTGCTAGTATCATGCATGCTATACATTACTAATAAATTCTTTTTCATTTTTTTTTCACTTATTGCTAGTTTTCAGGTACCTGTGAAAAATTAGAAACAGTTATAAAATAGGTAACTGTTGTTATATAGATGCCTGTTAACTCACAGTGGGTTTATATCCTGTTAAACCCACGGTAAGTTAAGTTGAAATGCATTTAATATCCCTAATCTACCAAACATCATAGCTTAACCTAGTTACTTGAAATATGCTCAGAACACTTAGACAATAGTTTATAGTTGGGCAAAATCTAACACAAGCCTATTTTGTAACAAAGCATCAAATATCCTGTGTGATTTATTGAATACTGTACTGAAAGTAGAACACTGAGTGATTGGGTTTACTTTAAGTACAGTGTCTATTGAATGTGCATCACTTTCATACCATTATAAAGTTGGGTGGTCTGTATATGCTCATGGAAATCTTGGGTTGTCTGAAAAGTCATGCCGCATTTTAGCATAGAAAAACAGAAAAATATGTCATGACTTTTTCCGAAGACCCAGTATAGTTCCAGAAGTTATTTTCTTTTAGAAACTGTAAGATCAGTGTTCGCTTCGGCAGCACATATATTAAAATTGGAACAATACAGAGAAGATTAGCATGGCCCCGGCACAAGGATGACACGCAAATTCGTGAAGCATTCCATGTTTTTACAGATCTAGAATCACAGTTCTGAAATTCTCTAGTATTGTAAGGTTCCCTAAGATTCTCCCCTGTACTGAACCACCTGTTAATAAGGAGATACTACTCTTCAGACACCTGAATAAAGTAAACCTCTGGAGACCACATTACTAAAAACAACAGAAGAGATACTTTTGCATAGGTTAATTTATAGCAAAAGGGAAACGCATTGCTCCTAAAAGGTATTCAAAAGTGAATACATCTTCCAGTGGCAAGAAGTAGAAGAGCCTCAGGTCTGAATAAACCAGAAAATATGTCTCCATCTAAGGAAACGAGTAACTCCCCTTCATCTCTCTTAAAATCTGAGGACGTTACCAAAATGTCAGACAAAGAATTTAGAGCATTCATGGTGACAAAACTCTATTAGTCAGAACAGAAAAGACAATGAACTACAAAAGACTGGGAAGTCCTTCCACAATATGAAAGAAGACATGGACACTCTGAGAAAGAATCAGATGGAACTATTAGGGATAAGTCTGTAATACAGGAAATCAAAAACTCTCTTGAAAGTATTAAAAGTCAATTAGACCATGCTGAAGATCAAATCTCCAGTGTAGAAGATAAAACCTCTGGCCTACAGAAAACCACCGAAAAGATAGAGAAAATAACAAAAAGGCATGAGAATAATATG